TCAATGTAAAAAACAACTGGTAGACTCATACGTAGAAGGTCCAGCTCATACATGGGACAGAAGGGAAGCTCGAGCTTGTATATTCTTTCAGCAAGAATATTTTTAGCTCCTGTTTGACCCCTATCTCAAAATTCATTTTCGACTACACATTTTATGTGGTTTACAGTTTTTATTAATTTTTTAATCGCACATTTCGTCATCATTTATGAAAATCTGATTTTTAACAATACTAAAACACATACTTAATATCCATTGTATGTACAAGCCATAGTAGATCAATGTACATGTTATCCGTAGGGTGCATGTATTCTAAGATTTAAAAGCCAAAATGGATCATTTAGATATGTATAAGCCAGATATCATATAAGTTTTATGCATCAATAACTTTGATTTGTAGGCCAGAGTTAACTTTTTCCTTAAAATGATCATTGAGATCTATTAAGCAAGAGAGAGGCTACTTGTACCAGGTCACGGTGACAAACACCGTGACCGGACACTCACAATGTGGGGGGCACACTTTTTTATTTTCAATTTTTTATTCATGTGGGGTCGGCAATCATGCGAGGATTTGTCAACTTTTTTGTCAAATTTTTTTTGTACAATTAACTTTTTTCATAAAGCAATTGCACACCTAAGTCTACAAAACTTATCAATGTCATTTGGGGGGGTGGGGCGGGGGTGGATAATAGACAGATTACGCTTATTTGTACCTTTGGGAATATGTGAAACTGAACAAACAATATTGAATCAAAAGCACCTTCATTCCATACAAATGTGACCTACCATAAAGCCTACCCCCACTTTACCCCACCCGACCTGGCTTGCCCACATCGACCTGTACCCCACACGCACAAGAACAGTGCCAAAGAGGGGGATAAGAATTAATTAAGATGTACATTCCTAGATGATACTGTTGTTGATATTGTGAGTCGTCAAAATCTACGTCATTGTTTGTTTAAAGTATTGTTAAAATCAATGTATAAAAAACTGTTAATTCACAAAAATGTCATCCATAATGTCAAAGTTAGTGTACATTTAGCAAGATTGAGGGGATAATTGGGGTAATACTAATTTCACCATCAAGAATGCGCAGTTGCGGTGTTGAGCTTTTAAGGCGAGACCATACTAGGAATTTTACAAGAAGTTCACATACACTTGTTGACAGATAGAAATAATCCCTTATGTAAAGTCTCAAATGGGTTATAGCAAGCAACATTTTCTTCTAATCCTAGTTTCTTTCAGGATTTCAAAGGCAAAGCTGAACACATCAGGTTATCTATGAATAACAGCCAATTCAACTTTATATACTTAGCCATGATTTAGATTGAATATTCTCCCCAATTGCTACCTGTACCACAAAATCAAAAAAGTAAATTGTGTATGAAATTAATTCAGATTTGAAAAGACTGAGCTTAGAATAAGTAAAAGTTAATATCAAGTAAGTTTCGTTTCAAATTATGTTAAGACAAGTTATTTTTTTTTACTTATAAGTGAAAAACATTAAGTATATCTTCCATTACTATCAAAATAAAGAAATTTGC